ACGACCCGCCCGCCCTTATGAGACGGGAGTGGAGCCAACTGTACAGGTACTTTGGTTGTGAACAACCTTATTATAAGAATACTACAGTATGTAAAAAAAAGACTGCTAGCTTAGTTGCCCGATTCAACTTTCTCGAAATGGTCTGAGAACTTCGGTCGGTAGTATGACGACAAACTTTATTTCATTACTTTATGTTATCGAAAATATTTAATAAGGTGTGATTTCTTATACTGGAGCAGGTTCAGGTACATTCAGGAGCCGGTGCATGCCCAGTATTTGCCAACAGTGCGTGACAGAGACGTGACCGATCGCCCGGGCGGCTAGCGAGCCAATCTTTTGGTGAAGAATATAAATGATAAGGAAAAGTAATCAGAGATGTGACCGATCGCCCAAGCGGCTAACAAGCCGATCAGTGGTGAAGAAGATAAAAGTAAAAGAAGCCAATCAGATCCTTTATACCTATAATGCTAATTTTGCTATACAGTAGCCTACTGTATATTGTGTTGTCTGTCTGTGGAATTAACAACCGCCTTAAAATAGTTTAGTTTTTATTTCTTTACTTGTTAATGGTATTCATATGAAGTGTGATTTTTTCCTAGCCCAAATTATGACTTTTTTCATGTGGTTTTATTTCCGTTCCTTCGTTCACCCATAATTCGACCCCCTTCCCCCCCTAATATAAAATCCGCTTCTGCGTTATTTCTGTCTTTTAAACTGCCTGATATTTAAACTGTTCGCATGTTTAAAATTTGATCTGCAAATTGTTGTTTAATACAAATAATGTTCAATTTAATGAGGAGTGTGGCATATTTATTTATTTGTGTTAGGCGCGTTTACCACGGGAGGGCGTAAATATTTAGTCACAATTCACTAGTGTCAGACAACAAAAACCTCTTTCTCTGTGAGGCATCAGTAATGTGGTAGGATTGAACTGTAACATGAAAATAACAGGATATATCAATATATACAAGAAGCTGGACAATAGTTATATTACTGGACCATAATAAGAAGTTGCCACAAACTGTCTGAAACCAGGAGGTAAACAAAATGTTTACTTGTGTATTTTTATTTTACATTACAAATTGAGTATATTATTGTGCCACCAACCAGCAGTCTGCTAGCGTGCCATCTGGCTATAAAGATACATCAATATTTAATTAATATATGGTAAATGTGAAAGAAAGGAGGCCAAGCACTACCACCAAAAGGAGTTGTTTGGTTTCGTAAATTTTTCCACATTCTGGTAATTATTGAAGACTGACCCGCTGCTGATTTTTCATAGAGAACGATTATAAAAACTCAGAAATTTTACTATATTTATTGCAGCCACTGTCTTAGTTCTGGCAAATGAAAAAGTGGTTATTTCTAAATTAAACCTAGCCTTAGTTGAGAAGAAAAGCAAGCAGCAGAAGTGTTGTTAGAGAACCTCACTAACTTAACCAAAGAAACCTACCCAGCCTTATCTAACTTCCTAGCCTTGGGGCTCTGCCCCCTCTGCATATTAAACAGAAAGAACTTACTGCGCTTGGTGTGTGTAATTTTAATTTTTTTTGTGGATGTGAGAGCAGCTGCCTGAACCGAGTAGCTCATAACCATATAGTACTGGCATCGATCGGGGCTGTCATTGTTATTGGCGGGGATGCTCCTTCTCTGCTGCATTACCACCGGCAAAGACAAGTAGTGCGCACCTAGTCACCTAATTATCTACCAAATGAAGCAGTTTTGAAAAACATGCTTATCATATCAACTCACTGATGAAAATGTAGTAAGAATGTAAACATCAAAGCAAATAACGCGTTGGTGGGATAGTCATTAATATTAGCCAATGTTCTTATCATTATAGTAAGTACACTATTTTAAAAGAGGCAACATATACTAGAATTGAATAGATCCTGACCTAACCAACCTTAAGAAACCTAACCTAACCTAACCAACCAAAGAAACCTACCTAACCTTAATTAACTTCTTAGCCAGGGGGCTCCGCCTCCTGGATCCCCCACCATATTAAACATATTTAAAATTACTTATCTGGTACCAATGAAAGAAACTTCGTTGAAGTGTTATGGTGTAATTTTTTTCTGTGAACAGTACGCTCGGACCGAGTGGGTCAGTTGTAAAACATACTGAACATGCGCTGACTTGGCAGATTTTTCTAGGAGTATTTATAGTAAATAATTAATATTTTCGTACAAAGCACGTCAACACATCATTTTAGTGTCATTGATCATAGATAGAGAAATTATATATATATATATATATATATATATATATATATATATATATATATATATATATATATATATATATATATATATATATATATATATATATATATATATATATATATATATATATATATATTCCTCACTTAACTTCGTGGTTCCTTTCCTAAAAACCAGGACGTTAACAGAATCACTTTTCCCCATAAGAAATAGATAAAATACCGGGAGTTACGTTCCCCAGCCTCCCTTTATCCCATAAAATACATTACAATGGCATTTTTATTGACAATAGTATACAGTATATACATATATATAAATACACTAAATCATTTTGAATTGTACTCACTGATGGGCGGAGGTGGTGGAGCGAGTGTGTGTTGGGTAGTGGAGCGGAGGAGGAGGGTGGCGAGCCACTGAAATCCAGCGGGTGGCTCCTCCTCCCACTCTGACTGGGGTTCCTCTGCTGCTGTTTGCTCCTCCTCGGCTGCTGGTTGCTCCTCCTCGCTTGCAGGCTGTTGTGAAGATGTTGCTTCTGCCTTCCGGCAACGAAAAAACAATCCAGGTTGACTGCTAAGTGCTCCTCTTATTTTTGTCCTTGTAGATCTCATTATGGCAACAAAGAGTTTCCTCCATGTTGCGTACAACCTTTGAGCTATGCTCTCTGTTTGGGTCGTCATCAATGAAGATTTGTATTCCTTGCTGGATCATGTTGAATGCTTCTGCCATCCTCTTGGTAGTTAGCGTTCGTTGTAGTTCTTCTTCTTCATCATTGTCTTCAGTGGCACTGCATTCTGTTAGCAGTTGCAGATTTTCATTCGCAAACTCTTCTGTATGGGATGCCTGGACTTGCTCAATATCCTCAGATTCCAACTCATGAAAGCCTGCCTGTCTAGCCAAGCTGAGGATAACCCTATTCACAGATGGGACTAAGTCCGTGAATCCCATAAAACTGTTCACACACCTGGGCCATAACTTAAGCCACACACCATTCAGGCAACTTTCTGAAACTTCTTCCCATGCCTTGCCAATGTTGTTGATTGCATGAAGAATGTTGAAGCCACACCAATAGATTTATTTTCTCTGTCAGTAGCCTTGAGCAGTTGGTCCATGGTAAGCCTTGAATGCGGCGATAATGCCTTGGTCCATAGGCTGCATCAGTGTTGTTGTGTTAGGAAGCAGGAAGACAACTCGAACATTGACATGTAAGTTGTCGAGACTGGGAGGATGCGCTGGAGCATTGTCAATGACATGAAGAATTTTGAAGTCCAGGTTCTCCTTGGCACAATAATCCTTCAGTGCAGGGATGGCATACACAGTTAACCACTGGCTAAATATGGTGCTGGTTATCCATGCCTTCTTATTTGCCTTGTAGATAACAGGAAAGTGATCCTTAGAGTAACCTTTCAAGGCACGTGGGTTGGCAGCACAAAAAATTAGCATTGGCTTCAGCTTGAAGTCGCCAGCAGCGTTCGCGCCAAGCAGCAGCATCAAGCGGTCTTTTGCCACTTTATAACCTGGCGCTCTTTTTTCTTCCTTGGAGATATAGGTTCTTTCGGGCATCCTCTTCCAAAAGAGACCAGTCTCATCCGCATTGAAGACGTGTTTCACTGAGTAGCAGAGTTTTTCAATTGACATCAACGCCAATAACAAAGTATTCAAATTATCAAAACCAGTTTTTGACCATACACTGTGATCAGTTGAAAAGAGCAAACACGGCCAGCAGAAGAGTTTGTTCAACACGTTTGAGCCAGTCAACCATTGCGTGCTTTCGTACTGCGTGATATTAAAATGCCTAACATATTCTTTGTTTTTATCTGTATGCTTCTTTGTAAGTCCTGGAATTCGTGGACAGGTCTACGTTTTCCTACGATTTCAATTTTCTCTGAAGTGTTTCTTCTCGAAAACGGCTTTTCCAGCAGTTCCTTAACTAAACAAGTGTCCTCTTCTACCACAGTTTCCATCGCAAGTAGAATGTTTATAACATTATAAGTCTATAACACTCGGGTAGCAGAAGCACCACAACACACACGAGCGGAAGAATGTAAACAACACGCACGACCCACACGGACTCATGGGTGGAGCGACACTGATGCTCCACGGCCTGGCGCATAATATCTGCCATTTCACCGTGGTATGACTGTGACGTCAGCGAGCTGCGCACGCAGGCTTTCATCGAGGTGAAACAACACCTACCGATGCGCTTGGGAGAGAAGCTAGCCCCGGCCTCGCTCCCTTACACAGTGCTGTTACTAAGCGCGAGGCTGCATTTTAGAGTACAGTATAAATGTAAATTTATTATTTAAGATGAATAAACAAAGAAAACGCTCTGATCAGTGACCATGCGCCGCATGCCTAGCATGCTCAGAGGATTCGCCACTGATATACATACATACATACGTACATAACAGCTCCTCCCCGACTTACGATGGGGTTAGGGACCCAAATCCAGGTCGTAATTCGAAATGGTCGTAAGTCGAAAATGCTTAAATAATACATAGAAAATCTAAAATGGGTGTCTCTTTTTCTTCTCAGCACCACAAAACTCTCACTTTTAACCTTGCTAGCCATTTTAAAGTGAATTGCAAACGAAAATTTTGTCTGTGTACTGACGTTAGGACTCAAAAGTACTTAATTTGACAAAATTTTGGTACGACTGAGGCAGGTCGAAGTGCGGGTGGTCGTATGTCGGGGAGGAGCTGTACATACAGGAGTATATATATACAGTCAACCCTCGCTTTACGCGGTCCCACTTTACGCGTTTCCACGTTTACGCGGTACCCTGCCGAACACGGAATGCTCACTTTCCGCGGTGTGTGTACCCTTTTACGTGGAGAGCGGCGCGAGCAGGGTGCGCACAAGGTTGCCCAGTCATCAAAACATTACCTAGTTCTTCACCCGCCACCCACCACAGCCGGCCCAAGTCAGTGATAGTGATAATGATAGTGAGGATATGGACTTATATGGACTTTGAGGGGTTTGACAAAGAGGCCCTGCAAGCCTCTGTGGTGGAAGGTTCCATGACAAAACCCCAACTGGGTTGTCATTTATCAACACTAATCTAACTTAACCTAACCTAACGTAACCTAACCTAACCTAACCTAAACAAAACATAAAAGTGTTTTATTTTATATTTTATATATGAGACTGGGGTTTTGTCCGTTGGGGTTTTATCCGGTCACCGTGGTGGACAGTGATACAATTGATACAAGTGATACAGGTGAGGGCCAATAATCTGCCCTCTGCCTCGGAACCAACCCCCCATCCCCGTGTGCCCAGCCATCTTTTCTACGAATGTAAGTGTTAAAAAAACTAATATTATTGATATTTCTCTTAATTATTAATTGTGTGTGCATACCATCATAAAATTAAGAAGTTATTTTTACTACAGCGTAGGTATTGTGTCTGAAAAAGTGGAGTTTGGGGGTCGGCCCGGTCCCTATTTCAATTAATCCCATATGTTATGTTGTTCACTTTACGCGGGCGCCGTGGGTTCAATTGACCGCGTAAAGTGAGGGTTCACTGTATATATATATATATATATATATATATATATATATATATATATATATATATATATATATATATATATATATATATATATATATATATATATATATATATATATATATATATATATATATATATATATATATATATATATATATATATATATATATATATATATATATTTTTTTTTTTTTTTTTTTTTTTTTTTTTTTTATAAAATCAATGGAAATGAACAGGAGGTTTTGCTGTTTTATTGACATCTGAAGATGTCTTGAATAAAGACTTAAAGCTATATTGTTTATATTATAT